TCAAATTGTTGCTATCTTTGTGGATAAAAAAAAGAGAAAATTAGTCTAAGGTCCCTCTCCCATTTTTAGTAATGGAAGAGATTCACAATATTATTTTTTAATGTCTAAGGTCCCTCAACCCACACCTATCTATCACAGAGAAATTTGATATATCTCACTCCATATGAAATTGATTGCTCTCCAAATCTTTCTTTAGAGCAAAATCTCTCTCCATCCTCAGAAAATTTGATCTAGTAGTGATGCCGTGGAGTTTTTGATCTCATGTTTCCGGCGATCTCATGTTTCCGGCGCTGGAATCCGACGCTACCGGAACGCTTACAGATCTCGATCTCATCATCATCACCTGGTGTGCGTAATTCTCCTCCGCCTCGATCTTGATCTTTGATTTTCCATCTCTCTCTTCTTTGCATTCCTTGCTCTTTTGCGTCCTGAACACCGACCAGAACGATGATTTCCTCCGATTAACCGGCAGCAAAGCTTTGGCGAATCGAGAATGTCACAATCTGAGCCGAAGTTGCTGGACTTTGTTATGCTCTTGAAGTTGCAAATCACCACAGCTTGGTATGAAAAGCTAGCACGCAACACAAACAATTCATGAATTGAAGACCAAAACAGTTCAAAAGCAAAGAAAACAACCCATTTCTTAATATTTAACCATGTCTTCTTTGTTGCAGAGATTTGAGGCGCAATCTATAAGTATGATATTACTTTCTTAAAAACAGTTTATGAAAGTGTCCAGCAACCAAAAACATCCCAAGAAAGTAGGGATAATTGACTTTTATTCTCCCAAGTCACGCATCCTCTCTCGACCTTGCTTTCTGGTAACACCAACAAAAAAATCACACAATGATTCTCTCCAACAATTCAAAGCACCAAATTTGGATATTTAACAGTTCAAGCTGCTTCAGAGGAAAAATGGACAGTGTTGCAGTGATTACCAAGGCTATGCATCCAAATCACTGAAGCCATCAAACTATAAACAATACAAGTAAATTTCTCTGGTTAGAGGGAGATTTTCTGTGGGTTTGAGTAATTTTCTCTGGGCTGAAGAAGGGAATTTCTCTGGTTTTGAAGAATTTCTCTGAGTTGAATCCAGAGAAATTCTTTGAATCCAGAGAAAATAACCGAATTTTATTTCTTGGTTGTACTCAGTGCAATAATTTTGTATAAGATCTGTTTGGTGTGCACATTTCTTTTTGTATCAGTGCTAGTGTTGTTGTTTTGCTTCCCTTTTTTTTTTTTTTTTGAGTTAAAAACCATAGCTGTTAGTTCTTCACATAATTTGGAAATTTCTCTGGTACAGGATTTTGAATTTTCTCTGGTAAAGGATCTGAATTTTCTTTGGTTTCATAGAGAAAGGATTCTACAGAAGTAAACAAATAATTGTGAATTTCTCTGGGCAATTCTCAGAATTTCTCTAGGCAAAGAAAAATTTCAAAACATAGAAAATCAAAAAAATTGAACAAACCAGAGAAATTTCAAATTTCTCTAGATGAAAATTTCTCTGGGTTGAAATTTCTCTGGATCGAATTTTCTCTGGATTGATGTTGAGGGACCTTAGACATTATAAAAATATTGAGTGTCCTTTATGCTATAAAATAGTAATACCAGGGACCTTAAAAAAAAACCCCTAAAAAAAATATAATTTGAGACAATTGCTCCCAAAATTTTAATTTAAAATTTAAATGATTGACCCGAGTTTTATTTATTAAACTAATATATTGATAATATATGAGATGATAAATTGTGTTAATTCCACACCATGATTTGATCAGAATTCTGATTGACCCGAGTATTCTTTATTAAACTAATATATTGATAATATATGAGATGATAAATTGTGTTAATTCCACACCATGATTTGATCAGAATTCTGATTGACCCGAGTATTCTTTATTAAACTAATATATTGATAATATATGAGATGATAAATTGTGTTAATTCCACACCATGATTTGATCAGAATTCTGATTGACCCGAGTATTCTTTATTAAACTAATATATTGATAATATATGAGATGATAAATTGTGTTAATTCCACACCATGATTTGATCAGAATTCTGATTGACCCGAGTATTCTTTATTAAACTAATATATTGATAATATATGAGATGATAAATTGTGTTAATTCCACACCATGATTTGATCAGAATTCTGATTGACCCGAGTATTCTTTATTAAACTAATATATTGATAATATATGAGATGATAAATTGTGTTAATTCCACACCATGATTTGATCAGAATTCTGATTGACCCGAGTATTCTTTATTAAACTAATATATTGTAACTTTTTCTCCAAAATCATAACAATATTCACAAAATATCAGAAATTTTAAAATTTCAAACACAATTGATTGTGTAATCAATTGTATAACATATAACACAAATATCATAACACTGCCCTAAGTTTTGTCGTTATAGCACAAGTAATTGTTTATTCAATTGGCATGAAAGAGTGAATGGAAAATCATAATTGATTGCAAAATCTGTTGGGCTGAAAGACTACAATTGATCGTACAATCGATTAGTAGCCATTGCAAATGAAAGGTGGATTGAACAATCACAATTGAATGTACAATCGATTGGTATGGGTTTATATTATTGTTATTTAATCGATTGTACCATTCATTAGAATAAGAGATTCAATGACCACAATTGATTGTGAGTTTTTAGAGAGAGAGTCTTCAGTAAAAAAAATTATATATAACCGGTTGAGAAGGTCCTCAATTTTTCTAATTAAATTATTTAATGGTTCAAATTAAATTTCTTGATATCTATTGGTTAAAAAGTAAGGTGCACATGATGTGCATATTTGGATGATGTACACACCCTAACAGTTCCCATGAATTTATAACAAAAAATATCAATCAATATGTATGACAAAGGTCAATCTAAACAGTTTTGAAGATTAATCTAACGACACTAATGATTTTCTAAACAAAAGTTAACACCTACAATTCATAAAATAGAGATTTGAACTAATTGTTCAATGGGACTTCAGGGATTGTACGAATTCAATATGGGATTTTCTATTGAAAAACCCTACTTACAAAATCTGAATTTGTTAAAGCTTTTTACAATGTTCTTAAAATTATTATTATGAATTAAGGCTAATCCATATAGATTTGAAAAACATTGATAAAAAAAAACTATAAGTTAATACACTTTTGATTTTTAAGGTAAATCAACTTTGTGCCCCTGAAGTATTACCAATTCATTTTTTGGCCCTAAACTTTATTTCCCAATTTACTCCTTACACCAGTGAATTTTTTTTAGTGTGGTGTCTTTGGAAGATTCTACTTTTAATACCAATTAAAATTAAAAATTATTGATAACGAAAATGCATGTTACATAATTTTGAAATCATTAAAGAAAAATGGTAAATTTATATAATATAGGACAAATTACGACGGTAATCTGTGTATTTTACTCCTTGTGTCATTTTAGTTTATGTACTTTCAATTGGTTCGATTTTGATCCTGAATTTATGATTTTTTAAAAATTAATTATCATTCTTAGCATTTTTTTTATGGAAAACATACACATAAGTGTCATGTGCCATATTTTAAATTGAAATAAATTTTAAAATTTAGAGTCAAAATTGAGCCAATTGAAAGTGTAGGGATCAAAATGACACAAGAGATAAAATATAGGGACCGCCGGTGTAATTTGCCTTACAATATGTTTTCAAGAAGAATTTTGTTATACACACCTCATACCATATGCACCTTTAGTTACGCTATTTTCTTCTTTAGTTATGACCAATTTTCTTCTTTAGTTATGACATTATTTTGAGATTTTGGTTATGAATATTTTTTTTTTTAATTACGACTCAGAAAGTATGAAATTATATCATTTTCTTCTATTGTTATAAAATGCATATGGTACACACCTTTCAAACGGTGTGTATTGTAGTATTTTCCTATTTTAAAAGTTAACATAAATTAGAAGAGACGTGTGAAATAAGTTTATAGTCAAATTTATAGATATACACAAAGATATAAGAAATAAATAATAAGAAAAAAAAATTGGTAGGATTGAGATTGTAGTAAAAGCAGATCATAGAGCTAGTAGAATCTGAATTATAATGTGATTCTATACGATTTTATAACTATAATTATAGTCACTTCAAGATCTTAGGCTTCTTTTGAAAATTGTCAAAAAAGTCAGGTTATTGACATATTTTGGTTATATCATTTTTTTAATTTTTTTATGTTTTTTCGTAAAAAATAAAAAAGTTAATTTTTTTTTGCATTTGCCAAAACAACCCTTAATAAATTTAAGATTTTACTTTGATTCAAATCATTTAACCCAATTGAAATTGTAAAATCATAAGATCTTACCATCTACATTGAGATTATGATAAGCATGAAAAAATATCCTTGTACCTCATTATCACTGATTGATTCGACGCCCCATCACCTTGAATTTAATGTGTATTTTTATGTTTGGAAAATTTATGAATCTATGGTGTATTAAGATTATGATGGATTAAGAATCTAGATTAAGGCCTATTTGGAAAGTTGAATTTGGATTAAAATAGTTAATAAAGATAAAATAGATTAAAATAGTCAATAAGACAAAATGTCACATCTAAACCATAATTATTTCATTTTTTTTCTGACAACCATCTAATCAATTACAAAAAAAAAAAAAAAAAGCCATTATTTTCCTAAACATAACTTTCTTAGACGACTAAAATAGTAAAAAAGCCAAGTAAAATAAGTTATTCCCAAACGGGGCCTAAGACTCTCAGTATACCAAAAATAAATTTAATGTGTATTTTTATATTTGGAAAATTCAAGAATCTAATAAAATGGGTTAGGTTTTTTAGGTCAATGATCTAAAAATGTATTGCAATAGATTTGTAAGAACTGTTTACATTTAATTATTCAAATATGAAGTATATTAATTTGAAAACTAAATGGATGATGTTTAATGGAATCAAGTTTTTGTGCTTAGTTATGTTTGTAACACCATGTGAATGAACTCACAGGATAAATTGGCTACCATTGAAGAATTGACCATCTCTGGCATGGAGAATCTTACGGAAATTTGGCCTGGGGAACTTGAAGCTAAACTAAGAAAGATGACAGTTGAATTCAATAATGGGCTCTCAAGTATTCTTTTCCCATCCAATTCAATTAAGGGCATGCAAAATCTTGAAGTACTTGAAGTGAAGGACTGTCGATCAATTGGAGTAGCCTTTGACCTTAAAGGACTTGTTTGGGAAGGCATATTAGATATGGCACTCCCTTCATTAAAAAATGTGAAACTAAGTTGTCTGCCAAAGTTGACACATGTTTGGAAGGACAATTCACCAGGAATTCAAGGCTTTCAGAATCTAAGATCCTTAGTAGTAAATGAGTGCAACAGTTTGAGAAATCTATTCTGATACTCTCTAGCCAAATTTCTTGTAAAACTACAAGAAATAGAGGTAAATGACTGTGGTATGATAGAATCAATCATTGGAAATGAACCAAATGCAGATGATGCAGTGATAACAAATATGATCATGTTCCCTCAACTGAGTAGTCTCAAACTCGGTGATTTGCCAAACCTTAGAAGGTTCTGCTCTGAGACTTGTACATTTGAGGGATCGTTGTTGAAAATAATAAAAGTAATCAATTGTCCCAAAATGAAGATACTCCCATCAGTATTTCAGCGCAAGCTAGACCAACAAAGGGCAGACTTTTCAACCTCATCTCAACACCATCTCTTGGATGGAAAGGTACGTTAATGAACTTTAAAATATAGCATTCACCGTTAATTAATTATCAATTCTTACAAAGAAAAATTGGTGGCAAATGTATGTTTTTAAAATAGACCAACCATTTTTTTGGGGTGTCAAACATGACAAATTGAATAGGTTACAATTATGAGATAATTTGTTTTGTTTGGAAGAGTTACACGAAAGACCTTACAAAACAAATAGTCTGGATATTTTGATAATCTAAATTGTTTATTTTGCAAATTTTGTGCATAAATTATCAAAAACAAATCATATTGATATGATAATCATAATAATGTAATTTTGTCATATTTGTGTTAAAAAAAAATGAAAGACCTTCCAAATTTTTGAATCCATTTTTTGAAGTCGAAGATCATAAAATCATATTGTTTTAATTATCGAATCAATATGATTAGTTTATTTATTTTTTTTGATGATCTATACATAAAGACTTTTATAAGAAAAAAAAATGATATAAATTACAAAGTGGGACTTGTGATAAAGGTGCCCAGCCCCACCTTCTTTCAAATTTTTTGACAAAGATTTATTAGGATAACAAATTTGTAAACATCAATTCTTGGAATTCTCTACTTTACTGATGAACAATAAATGGACGAATAGACGGACACGTGGACAAATTGACAAATATGTGAATAAATAGATAAATAGGTAAGAGTTATATGATATTTCAAATTGTTGCTATCTTTGTGAATAAAAAAAAGAGAAAATTAGTCTAAGGTCCCTCCCCCATTTTTAGTAATGGAAGAGATCCATAATATTATTTTTTAATGTCTAAGGTCCCTCAACTCACACCTATCTATCACAGAGAAATTTGATATATCTCACTCCATATGAAATTGATTGCTCTCCAAATCTTTCTTTAGAGCAAAATCTCTCTCCATCCTCAGAAAATTTGATCTAGTAGTGATGCTGTGGAGTTTTTGATCTCATGTTTCCGACGACGATCTCATGTTTCCGGCGATCTCATGTTTCTGGCGCTGGAATCCGACGCTACCAGAACGCTTATAGATCTCGATCTCATCATCATCACCTGGTGTGCGTAATTCTCCTCCACCTCGATCTCGATCTTTGATTTTCCATCTCTCTCTTCTTTGCATTCCTTGCTCTTTTGCGTCCTGAACACCGACCAAAACGATGATTTCCTCCGATTAACCGGCAGCAAAGCTTTGGCGAATCGAGAATGTCACAATCTGAGCCGAAGTTGCTGGACTTCGTTATGCTCTTGAAGTTGCAAATCACCCCAGCTTGGTATGAAAAGCTAGCACGCAACACAAACAATTCATAAATTGAAGACCAAAACAGTTCAAAAGCAAAGAAAACAACCCATTTCTTAATATTTAACCATGTCTTCTTTGTTGCAGAGATTTGAGGCGCAATCTATAAGTATGATATTACTTTCTTAAAAACAGTTTATGAAAGTGTCCAGCAACCAAAAACATCCCAAGAAAGTAGGGATAATTGACTTTTATTCTCCCAAGTCACGCATCCTCTCTCGACCTTGCTTTCTGGTAACACCAACAAAAAAATCACACAATGATTCTCTCCAACAATTCAAAGCACCAAATTTGGATATTTAACAGTTCAAGCTGCTTCAGAGGAAAAATGGACAGTGTTGCAGTGATTACCAAGGCTATGCATCCAAATCACTGAAGCCATCAAACTATAGACAATACAAGTAAATTTCTCTGGTTAGAGGGAGATTTTCTCTGGGTTTGAGTAAATTTCTCTGGGCTGAAGAAGGGAATTTCTCTGGTTTTGAAGAATTTCTCTGAGTTGAATCCAGAGAAATTCTTTGAATTCAGAGAAAATAACCGAATTTTATTTCTTGGTTGTACTCAGTGCAATAATTTTGTATATGATCTGTTTGGTGTGCACATTTCTTTTTGTATCAGTGCTAGTGTTGTTGTTGTTGTTGTTGTTTTGCTTCCCTTTTTTTTTTTTTTTTTTTGAGTTAAAAACCATAGCTGTTAGTTCTTCACATAATTTGAAAATTTCTCTGGTACATGATTTTAAATTTTCTCTGGTAAATGATCTGAATTTTCTCTGGTTTCATAGAGAAAGGATTCTACAGAAGTAAACAAATAATTGTGAATTTCTCTGGGCAATTCTCAGAATTTCTCTAGGCAAAGAAAAATTTCAAAACGTAGAAAATCAAAAAAATTGAACAAACCAGAGAAATTTCAAATTTCTCTAGATGAAAATTTCTCTGGGTTGAAATTTCTCTGAATCGAATTTTCTCTGGATTGATGTTGAGGGACCTTAGACATTATAAAAATATTGAGTGTCCTTTATGCTATAAAATCATAATACCAGGGACCTTAAAAAAAAACCCCTAAGAAAAATATAATTTGAGACAATTGCTCCCAAAATTTTAATTTAAAATTTAAATGATTGACCCGAGTTTTATTTATTAAACTAATATATTGATAATATATGAGATGATAAATTGTGTTAATTCCACACCATGATTTGATCATAATTTTGATTGACCCGAGTATTGTTTATTAAACTAATATATTGATAATATACGAGATGATAAATTGTGTTAATTCCACACCATGATTTGATCGTGATTCCCAATTGATTTGAACGGTTTAAGATGTCCAATTAGTCAATCAATACCCATTCAATCTAATTTTGTTCATATTTAATTGGTGCATAATAATAGGATTTATTATTTTGCGTGAGATCATTACACGCAAATTCATTTTCATGCTATGCAGTCCTTAATTTGTTTTAATTTTGTTTAACGTATAAAATGTGTCCTATGGTATTTCTGTCAAACGCGGTTTGCCGTAGTCATTAGAATTATGGCTCGTTGAGAAGATCATACTTGTAAAAAATTAAATTGATTTAAATACTATAGACATGTTAGTAGATTACATTTATCTTCAAAATAATAAACATTCTATCATCTAAAATATAATTATTGTCCATTTCTATATACAAATGTGATCTAACCATGTAATTATAGTTGTTCAAACAATTTGATTTTTTTTTTTGTAAGAATGGTATTCTAACATGTTCTTAGATATGAACGGCTCATAATTGAGGTGGTCCCGTGGGGAGCCCACAAAAACCCAACAATATCTTCAGTTAATTTTGCAACTAAAGGAAAACGTTACCCTAATTTAATAAATTATTAAGTGTCTTTAGTCTTACTGATTTATCCCTACTCAAATTCTCCCTTCAATGTTCATAATATATATATATATATATTTTAATTTTCTGTAGTCCATAATTTTATATTGTTACTCGTGATAATGTGACAATATCACTTTTTGGATGTTTTTTCTTAATGAGTGGAGCTTTCTTTAGAAAAAAAGAAAAGATAAGCTATATAAGCCTTACCTATGATATTAAAAAAATAAAAACAATTTACAAATAGAATTTAGTTATATATATATATATATATAACTTATAAAAACTTTGGTGGCCGGAACATTTTACAGTTATGAACTACCACAAGATGGATGCTTTTTTGTTTGAAATAAAAAGACTATAAAATGACATATTGTTTGTATAAAAGTTTTTAAATTTATTTTATTTTGTCTTGTTTTGTTTTATTTTTATGTAGCATTAGCGTAAACAAATGTAGAGCATGCAAAAAAAGAAACCTAAAGCCTTTGCTTAGGTGGCTTTATATTAAAGAGGTGAGGGTTGTAGTTGTGATAAAGTGGTGGTAGTGTTAGGATAGCATTGATAGGTGATAGGTGGGTGATGGTGGCAATGAGTGCTGATGGTAGTAGAGTGCTGGGGTTGGTGGTGGTGTTAAGATTTTAGTATGAGAAATGCTTTTAATTTTATAAAATAGAAAATCGTTTTTACACAAATTAATTCATTTTTCAATGTCTTTCACACAAATTAAGTCACTTTTTGTAATGCTTGTCGTTCTTGTATTTTGATTCTTGAGTAATTTTGGTTCCTATAATTTTAATTGGTTCAATTTTGATTATAAATTTATGATTTTATCTCAATTTAAACCAATTGATTACAATTATTATCATTTTTTAATAAAAAAATGCACACATAAGTGACATGTGTCATACTTTTAGGTTCACAATTATGAACTTGCTCAACTCAATAAGTTATCTCGATCAATTCAGTAATCATTTTATGTAAAAATAAAAAATAATAAAAAACACTAAAGGTGTTATTAATTTGACTATATTGACATAAAATCTAAAATTAAATATCAAAATTGAACCAATCAAAACTATAAGAATTAAAATGGCACAAAAGGCAAAATTTAGATGGTAATTGTTAACAAATGTTAGGGGAGAGAGTTGGATGTGTCAAATTTAATTAGAAAAGGCTATCTCCCTATTTAATTTTTGGCTCGATGCACTGCTTACAACAGTTTTTTTATTTTATAATATTAATTGATTTTGCATTAAGTTTACCCCACTGTCAATTGTTGTTCATGATCAAATGAAAGTTGTTGATATAACATCTAAATTTCAATCAAAATTTTATTTTATCCTCAAATTATCTCCAAAATATCTATTACACCCCTGAATAAAATGAAATTTTGGGTAAAATAATTATGTCACTAACACTAACACAGTTAAGTTTAATGGTCTTGCAGTTTATTTTCAGTAATTGGTCTCTGTACGAATTTGGAAAACTTACTATCACAGACATAAATGGATCAATAGAGATGTGGCACAACCAACTTGAAGTTGACCTCCTTTACCAAGTGAGATTCATGTTGGTCCAATTTTGCGGGAAATTATCAAATGTGATCTTGTTGAATTTAATGCAAAGACTACCATATCTAGAACGGCTGAAGGTATGGTGGTGTGATTCACTGGAAACAATATTTGACCTCCAAGGGTCGGTACGCGCTGGTACTACTGGTCTGGAATCAATCATTTGGCTAGGAGATTTGAAATTGATGTATTTGCCCAAGTTGATGCATATATGGAAGAATGTTTCCCAACAAACTCATTGTTTCAAATGTTTTTAATCTTAAGATA